GGGTTAAGATTTTTTTTTGTTATTATAGAGATTCTTTAGTCACCTCTTTTTATATATTCTCACAAAAATCATGTTGTTAAGTGAATGCTATTTATTAAAACAATAATAGAGCTGAGCTTGCTATTTTACCATGTCATGAAAGAAGAGGATGTGTGACATTGTGATTTAAAAAAAAAAAAAAAAAAAAAAAAAAATTATTTAAAGTTTATTCCTTGTATCGTGACCCATACATGGATTTCTCTAAGCCCCGGATGTCCACTCACCCTAGAACCGCCCCTGATCGCAGATGTAAAATATATTTATAGAAAATTTGAAAGGTAATTGCCAGATGTTTTACTGCGTCACATGGCAACCAACAATTTATTAAATATTACAAAATATTGTAACTCAAAGTTTTCCTCTGACTGCAGTCACGGCTGTAGGAATAAGTTGCAGCAGTGTAATTCACACAATTCACCACAGGAGGGCGACTGGCTAAGTTGCCTTGTTATAAAGTTTTAGTGCTTAACTTTTTGTGTTCAAAATGTTCAAAGGTTATATAGTGAGCGAGTACATGCATCAGTTGTCCAAATCGTGCTTTGTCTTATCCTGAATCACTGTGGTACACCTATAATAAGTGTTTATATTCGGACTATTTTATACTGGTTCTGGTCTTACCGCTGCGGAGGAGCACAGGACCTGCGTGACTCGTCATACATGTTTGGTTCAATATTAAATTATACTCTAACTTAACGTTACCTTTGGCTCGTGGAGAGAATAATATTCATTTGAACTTTTTTAATTTCACTTGAACACTCACCAGAATTCTTGCAGAGTCGATTTATCTATTTCGCTGACTCAAATCTTTAAATGTTTATGGGTAAAATGACAGCAGTGTAATTCACACAGTTCACCACAGGAGGGCGATAAAACTCCATTTTAAAGAATATCGCAGCATAGGGGTGGGCTAATGGGGGCTGTTTTCAGTAAAGCCCCGAATGTTTTTTATTCCCATGCATTGTACACACCATCACTGAGAGAATTTAATTAATTAAATGTATATTTCTCGACTCTCGCATCGTAGCGTCCGTCAACATACGCATTGTCATTCACAACCGACAAGAACCGCCCATTCAGGCTAGTGCTTCTGACTGACATGTAAACTGGCCAACCATCGATGAGAAGCAACGCGTCTGTACGATCCAGCCAATGAAATTAAATATTTTGGAGCCAGGTGTTTGTTGATGATGTGTAAGTTAGTAATGAATGAGTAAAATTGATACAACAGCTTCAGCAGGTAACTTCTAATCATAGTATTAGATTTCATTCTTTAGATTGTCAGATATGCTACATTTTGATCGTTTAACACTTTGTGCAGCACAGTCAATAGGACGTGCACGTGCGCGCGCGCGCACACGCATTTTAAGAGCGTTATATGTTTGGTCAGCATGGCCAAACGTAAAGAAAATATTTCGCTAACGAAAATGGTTTCAAACAAAGCATCACAGTGTTTATTAATTGAATTTGCTTGTAAACGATTCACTGACCGCCATTCAAAATCATTTATACTTTTTTCCTAAATGAATCATCTGATTTGAACGAATCGATCGAACGAAGTACCATTTTCATTTTTTCAATATTTCATATTTCTGTATTCCAAATTTGATATTTGATCCATCAGTCTCACACCATTATTTATGCAAATTGTAAGTGCTGTGTAAAATGCATCTACAAGTGCTCCTTCAAAAATATAAGTGTAGACCCATGTGTTTTAATTATAGGCCTACTTGGCTTTTAGCCTTTCTGTTTGTATTATGTATAAAGTAAAATGTAATGTGTAAAATGTAACGTGTGCTTGGAGAATGGGTTAAGATTTTTTTTTTGTTATTATAGAGATTCTTTAGTCACCTCTTTTTATATATTCTCACAAAAATCATGTTGTTAAGTGAATGCTATTTATTAAAACAATAATAGAGCTGAGCTTGCTATTTTACCATGTCAGGAAAGAAGAGGATGTGTGACATTGTGATTTAAAAAAAAAAAAAAAAAAAAAAAAAAAAAATTATTTAAAGTTTATTCCTTGTATCGTGACCCATACATGGATTTCTCTAAGCCCCGGATGTCCACTCACCCTAGAACCGCCCCTGATCGCAGATGTAAAATATATTTATAGAAAATTTGAAAGGTAATTGCCAGATGTTTTACTGCGTCACATGGCAACCAACAATTTATTAAATATTACAAAATATTGTAACTCAAAGTTTTCCTCTGACTGCAGTCACGGCTGTAGGAATAAGTTGCAGCAGTGTAATTCACACAATTCACCACAGGAGGGCGACTGGCTAAGTTGTCTTGTTATAAAGTTTTAGTGCTTAACTTTTTGTGTTCAAAATGTTCAAAGGTTATATAGTGAGCGAGTACATGCATCAGTTGTCCAAATCGTGCTTTGTCTTATCCTGAATCACTGTGGTACACCTATAATAAGTGTTTATATTCGGACTATTTTATACTGGTTCTGGTCTTACCGCTGCGGAGGAGCACAGGACCTGCGTGACTCGTCATACATGTTTGGTTCAATATTAAATTATACTCTAACTTAACGTTACCTTTGGCTCGTGGAGAGAATAATATTCATTTGAACTTTTTTCATTTCACTTGAACACACACCAGAATTCTTGCCGAGTCGATTTATCTATTTCGCTGACTCAAATCTTTAAATGTTTATGGGTAAAATGACAGCAGTGTAATTCACACAGTTCACCACAGGAGGGCGATAAAACTCCATTTTAAAGAATATCGCAGCATAGGGGTGGGCTAATGGGGGCTGTTTTCAGTAAAGCCCCGAATGTTTTTTATTCCCATGCATTGTACACACCATCACTGAGAGAATTTAATTAATTAAATGTATATTTCTCGACTCTCGCATCGTAGCGTCCGTCAACATACGCATTGTCATTCACAACCGACAAGAACCGCCCATTCAGGCTAGTGCTTCTGACTGACATGTAAACTGGCCAACCATCGATGAGAAGCAACGCGTCTGTACGATCCAGCCAATGAAATTAAATATTTTGGAGCCAGGTGTTTGTTGATGATGTGTAAGTTAGTAATGAATGAGTAAAATTGATACAACAGCTTCAGCAGGTAACTTCTAATCATAGTATTAGATTTCATTCTTTAGATTGTCAGATATGCTACATTTTGATCGTTTAACACTTTGTGCAGCACAGTCAATAGGACGTGCACGTGCGCGCGCGCGCACACGCATTTTAAGAGCGTTATATGTTTGGTCAGCATGGCCAAACGTAAAGAAAATATTTCGCTAACGAAAATGGTTTCAAACAAAGCATCACAGTGTTTATTAATTGAATTTGCTTGTAAACGATTCACTGACCGCCATTCAAAATCATTTATACTTTTTTCCTAAATGAATCATCTGATTTGAACGAATCGATCGAACGAAGTACCATTTTCATTTTTTCAATATTTCATATTTCTGTATTCCAAATTTGATATTTGATCCATCAGTCTCACACCATTATTTATGCAAATTGTAAGTGCTGTGTGAAATGCATCTACAAGTGCTCCTTCAAAAATATAAGTGTAGACCCATGTGTTTTAATTATAGGACTTGGCTTTTAGCCTTTCTGTTTGTATTATGTATAAAGTAAAATGTAATGTGTAAAATGTAACGTGTGCTTGGAGAATGGCTTAAGATTTTTTTTGTTATTATAGAGATTCTTTAGTCACCTCTTTTTATATATTCTCACAAAAATCATGTTGTTAAGTGAATGCTATTTATTAAAACAATAATAGAGCTGAGCTTGCTATTTTACCATGTCAGGAAAGAAGAGGATGTGTGACATTGTGATTTTTAATTTTAATTAGCAAGAAAGATCCACCTTGTTAAAAAAAAAAAAAAAAAAAAAATTATTTAAAGTTTATTCCTTGTATCGTGACCCATACATGGATTTCTCTAAGCCCCGGATGTCCACTCACCCTAGAACCGCCCCTGATCGCAGATGTAAAATATATTTATAGAAAATTTGAAAGGTAATTGCCAGATGTTTTACTGCGTCACATGGCAACCAACAATTTATTAAATATTACAAAATATTGTAACTCAAAGTTTTCCTCTGACTGCAGTCACGGCTGTAGGAATAAGTTGCAGCAGTGTAATTCACACAATTCACCACAGGAGGGCGACTGGCTAAGTTGTCTTGTTATAAAGTTTTAGTGCTTAACTTTTTGTGTTCAAAATGTTCAAAGGTTATATAGTGAGCGAGTACATGCATCAGTTGTCCAAATCGTGCTTTGTCTTATCCTGAATCACTGTGGTACACCTATAATAAGTGTTTATATTCGGACTATTTTATACTGGTTCTGGTCTTACCGCTGCGGAGGAGCACAGGACCTGCGTGACTCGTCATACATGTTTGGTTCAATATTAAATTATACTCTAACTTAACGTTACCTTTGGCTCGTGGAGAGAGTAATATTCATTTGAACTTTTTTCATTTCACTTGAACACACACCAGAATTCTTGCAGAGTCGATTTATCTATTTCGCTGACTCAAATCTTTAAATGTTTATGGGTAAAATGACAGCAGTGTAATTCACACAGTTCACCACAGGAGGGCGCCCAGATAAAAACAAATTTTCGTCATGTTTGCCAGATGTTTTCAATTATTTATCAAATGATTTAATCAATGCCAGCAGTGTATTTCACATAATTCACAACAGGAGGGCGTTTAGACGCGAGTCTTTAAATGTATATACAGATATAAGGATATATTTCTTCTAAACAAAAGTGAACTTTTCCAGATGTTGTTTTACAACATAAGTTTCATGGACAACATAAGTAATATTAATAAAATAATATGCCTAAATAATAAATATTAAAAAATAATAAAAGTCTAAAATTCTAAACGTCTAAAGGTATCATGGCCGACCGGCTCAGACACCACCCAAATCAGCACGTGACTCCTCATTCTCTCTGCGTGCACGCATGCATACATGATCCCATTCCCAGTTGATTTGTTCCACCTGGTACTAACCACACGTTCTTATTTAAACTTTTTGAGTGAATGTGTGAGAAACAGGAGTGCAATAACGTCGAAAGAGGTAGGTGACGAAGCCGTTGTAGCTTAAATTGTATCCAACCTTACTCGTCTTTATTGAATTTTTACCAGTTAGAATTCAATCTGATTGCTTTACAATTAATTCCTACTAGTAGCAATTACAATTATAGAGCTCTCTAATTAAATTCTTACTAACAAGTACGATTAGAGAGCTCTCTAATTCGATTTTTACTAGTAAGAATGTTATTGAGCTCTTTAATTGAGTTGTAGAGCTCTGCAATTGCATTCTTACAAGTAACAATTCTATTAGAGAGCTCTACAATTCAATTCTTACTAGTAGAAGTTACAATTAGAGAGCTCTCGTGAAAATGCAATTTCAGAGCTCTCTAATTCAATTATTACTAGTAACAAATACAATTGCAACTCTGTATGGCAAGCCGTTTTAGCTTAAATTGTATGGCAAGCCGTTTTAGCTTAAATTGAGAGCTTTACAATTTAATTTCTATTAGTAGCAATTACAATTATAGAGCTCTCTAATTAAAATTGTACTAATAACAATTACAGTTAGAGAGCTCTTTAATTTGATTTTTGCTAGTAAGAATATAATTGCAGAGCTCTTTAATTGATTTCCAGAACTCTGCAATTGCATTCTTACTAGTAAGAATTACATTAGAGAGCTCTCTAAATCAGTTTTTACTAGTAAGAATTACATTAAGAGCGCTCTTTAATGCAACTGTTACTAGTAACAATTCAGTTAGAGAGCTCTACAATTCAATTCTTACTTGAATTAAAGAGCTCTTCAATTGCATTCTTACTAGTAGCAATTCATTTAGAGAGCTCTCTAATGCAATTGTTACTAGTAAGAATTAATATTATTGAGCTCTCTAATTCAATGCTTACTAGTAACTATGTCAAGCCGTTTTAGCTTAAATTGTACCCAGCCTTACTCGTCAGAATTGCACTTTTACTAATAACAATTCAATTAGAGAGCTCTCTAATTCAATTCTTACTAGTAACAATTGCAATTAGAGAGCTCTACAAATGAATTTTTACTAGTCGTATGTCTCCATTGACTTCCATTCATTTTTAATTAGAGAGCTCTACAATTGAATTGTTACTAGTAAGAATTACAGTTGGAGAGCTCTACAATTGAATTGTTACTAGTAACAATTATAATTAGAGCGCTCTCTATAATTAGAGATAAGTGTCTGCTCTGGATAAAGTTATACGATAGCGAGACCACAACACCAAATAAACGCGTATAAATTAAACAAGGATGTCTACATCTGATCTAAGTTAGTCAACAACGTATTTGAACGTTATCTTTAAAATCTCTAACGTAACGTTAGTCTAACGTTAGACGTACATTAGTAAACATTAACGTTAGCTTCTGCGTTGTACATCATGTCAATTAGCTTCATTAACGTATATCTGTAAATAAACGAGAAAACAAATGTTAGCGATGTTGTGCTGAATGATTCATGTAAATACTGTAGTACCAAACGGTGATGGCAACGATATGCGGGTTATCATGTTTACACTGTGACCTGTACATTTTTGCCTGGAGCTGAAGCTTTTCATTGACGTTCTCAACAATAAAATTATTAATATAACCCTCCAATGCATAGTTCATGCCCTTTAGGTGACTTCAAGATGATATAAGTTTTCTGTCTCCAAAAATCACCAATTGCCTCCTGTGAAATGTCTCCTACTGTGACAGCTGCCATAGCGCACGTGCCGTGTTTGTCCGAGTGAGTGGAGGGGGCATGGCTTAGCCATAGGTCAATTGAGTTGTTACTAGTAAGAATTGAATTAGAGAGCTCAGTAATAGTAATTCTTACCAGTAACAATTGCATTAGAGAGCTCTCTAAATGAATTGCTACTAGTAAAAATGCAATTGCAGAGCTCTTTAATTCAATTCAACAGCTCTCTAATTGTAATTCTTACTAGTAGTAACAATTCAATTGTAGAGCTTTTTACTAGTAAGAATGCAATTAAAGAGCTCTTTAATTCTGTTACAGAGCTCTGCAAGTTATTATACATATCTTTAATTCATTATGGAGGGACCTGCACGCCGCACACGTAGCAAGAAAACCCCCGCTCCGGGTGAAACCACAATCCTCAGGCGTAGCACCCGTAACAAAGGTGGCGCCGTAACTAAAGAGGTGAAAGTAGTGGCAGAGAACGTTCCAGAACCCGTGCAGGATCAGATCCAGGTGTCTGAAGCCGTGGTGGTGATTCCCTCCTCGGAGTGTGTGAACGCTGGTTTGTCTCCAGACCGATCCGCCGACAAAATCCCCAGCGCTGCATCCGGGTCGCAGACGACACCTCCGGGCTCGTCTCGGACGTCTGTTCGCCGCTCGCAGGTTGTGCAGCGCCGGCGCTCTCTGGTGGGACTCAGGCATAGCATGACCCAGAAAGCTGTTCGCAGGGCGTCCCGGCGCTCTTTCCTGAAGAAGAAAGCCAGACTGGGCAACTTGACCTGCAGCAGCTCCGACAGCGGTGAGGCCATTCACAATCACCGTCAGAACTCAAATGAATAATTATGGTCTGTGTGATGATGAATGCCTTAGGATTTATCGCTTTGTTCGGACAGTCATGCATGCTTTTTAAAGTGATTAAATGTGCATGTTAACTGAATGATGATGTTTATGTCTGCACTGCTTTTTCCAGAGGACATTAGTATGAACATTGAACTTGAGGACCAAGAGGAACAGTGAGTTTGCTTTGAAATTTCAGCATATGATGTATTTTTTTCTGAGATTCAAACCCACAACCTTTTGGTTATCAGTCAAGATCTTTTAAACGCCATTTCTCGCTTCTATTTAGGGTTGATGCACCGCAAAAGATGGCCGAACCACCCACTGAAACCAACCCTGAACCTGAAATCGTCCAAATTGAGGTGAGAAATTCCTGCTGTGATTTTCGTGTACACGAGAACGCTCGCGGGTGAAAACGTAAAAATATTTTATTGGATGTGCCTTTTGTTGACACGGCGACGGCGTTTTTGGGGCTTAAAAACACAAAGTGAAACCACCCTCCAGAGTGGAAATCGTTCTAGTGGACCGCGTTCCCGTCTAAAGGGTAAAAACGCAAAAGTCTGCTTGACGGTGAAGGTTGTACACAGGCGAGCAGACTTGGTGTTGTTGTGTGGTAGTGCTCCACCTAGCCACCTGGAGCGCATACTACATTGAATTTCACACACTTTTGCGTCACAATATGCTCACGGATTTCCCACCCATAACGCTTGTCTAAACGCAGAATAAAAAGTGATGTAACGCAACGCCACTTTTGCGTTCTCTCTTCAGATCGTTTCCGTGTAAACAGCCGAAGTCACAAAACCCCCACATTTAACCAAACACGGCCATTTCGTTTATGAGGATAGGAAGTGTTTTATTGCATAGTGCACTTTGCGAATAACTCAACGGCTGTGTGATATAGCAACCTGAACCTGCAGGGATGCAAGCAGTGCACTCTTCGGCGTCTCCTGCTTTTTTCATGTCAGTTTGGGTGACTCGCTGTGCAGAAACGCGCCCGCGCGTGGATATCATTCTGTCAGTCTATACTGTTTTTTTTGCCCTCGTATGTTGTGCGTGAGTTTTGAGACTAAATAAACGCTGTAGGGCCGTTCACATATTGTGTGTTTTGCGCTCTCAAGTTTGCAATTTCAAATTTAAGGTTTTTTTTTTTTTTTTTTCAAAGGCAGAAACATATTTACTATGTGCCTTGGGGTTGGTGGCAATGTAAGTAATGTAGGCTTCGATTACCTCTCTTTTTTTGACTATACATGTGTTTGCATCCCTGAACCTGAGAAGACTGAAGAAAAGGAAACTGAGATAAAAGACGATAAACTACCAGAAGAGATTTCTCAATCTCCAAGCAGCGTCACACAATCCATGACTCATACTTCAGACACAGGTACAAGTCTAACAGAGGAATACGGAAGGTGTAAATGGGATTGCGATGTGTATAGTAAGGTTTGATTTACTGCCTTTATCTTCCTGTAATAGATGACAGTAGCAGGCCCAGAGGAGACGTCCAGTAAGCACATCAACTCGAATTCTTCATTAAGTTTGTCACATTTATTTATATAGCGCTTTTTACAATACAGATTGCAATCACAGTGATAACATGAAAGTAGTACAACACAGATCAATAATATTGTTCAATATTAAATGTCCCCAACTAAGCAAGCCAAAAGCAAGGCATTTAATGTAAATGTTTTCTAATGGTCTCTGTGGGTGTCCGTCAGGCGTAGGCTTTCAGGCTCCAAGCGTCAGGCAGTTGAGTCAATTCAGGAATTCAACACACCCATGAAGAAGCGATCTCCTCCAAAGAAATGCCTCGCGGTATGAGTACCTCTGACCATCGTAATGCCTGAAATGAACACATTGTGAAGGCAAAACATTGACTTGATTGAGGCTTGGATTAGCCAATCTTTGATCCGTGCAGACCATCATCCATTATGTTTCTGTTTGTTGTGTGTGTGTGTGTGTGTAGAGGACTGCTCCACACACGCGCTTGTTTGTTCACACAGTGCAGAAGAACCGGATGCTGATGAAGATGCCTGGATCTCTGGACCGCAACAACATGAATTCCATCGAACGATCTGCCACCAAAACCGTTATCAAGGTGGGCACACCTTTCAGACTGTTCCTCTGTGCATGTTTTAAGACCCAGGGAATCGTTTTTTTTTAAACGCACACAAAAAACATATTAATAGATGAATTAAATTGTCATTTTGCACTTTAACGTTCACAGACACTAGTCCATATTGCGATTTGATTACAGGGATGGTTCACCCCAAGATGTTAACTGTCATTACTTTCGCTCATGTTGTTCCAAACCTGTACAACAGGGGAGCTGCGGGGTCTTAAAAAGGTCTTAAATTTCTTGTTCCTTAAGGCCATAAGGTTTTAAATTCTGTTGTCCAAGTCATAATTTTTTATTTTTTTTTTAAACGGTCTTAAATTTGATTATACTAGCCTATTTATTCAGTCAACCAGACTGCAACGCAAGGTGAAATGGGGGAACAACAACGTGGTTTAGCGTAACGTCAACATCTAATTTCTTGGAGTGTGCGCAAACAACATTTTTTAGTCTGATGAAAAATATCTTAGGTGGGGCTTTTTCATATTCTGTCGGTTTCAGTGGTCTGGTAACATGGGAGTCTTTTAGTGTAGTGGTTTCGAGGTCGTCACCTCACGTACGTGACGTCACCCCGGTTTGAGAACCACTGCCTTTACTTATATTTGTAAAGCGACCTTGGGTGTTGGAACTACCCAAACGCATTTTAACACAAACTGCATGATACCAGTGCTTTGTGATAAAGTCTGTAATAATTGAATGCCATATTACAAGGCTGAGTCATTCTTACACAAAAACAAACTAATTACACACCCAGATTCCAGGAACTCACCTGCAGTGTGAATGAACCCAAATCAAACTATCCCGGGTATCTGTGTGAAAGGGGCTATGCTACACTTCCTTCGGGCACTCTGTGTCGAAACTGAACTGACCATCCCAGTCAGACTCTGTCAGATTAACCTCGTCACTCGTGTGTGTGTGTCTCTGGCTTGGGAAGTTTATTCACTTTTCACACAAAGCAAAAGCAGCCGTCCTTGTATTTGTTTTCATCGTCCTTGCTCTTAACTTCAGTCATTCTTCACTTAAATCCTGTAATTGTGGAAACTAAAATGAACACTTTTCCTGCAGAAGCTAGAACGACAGAAGTGGGACGCCTTGAACAAGAAGATGCAACAAGAGTATGAACGAAAGCTGAAGATTGAGGAGGAGAGACAAAAGAAACGGGAAGAAATGAAAAGGTGGGGAGGTGCTTTTGATTGGTCGACTAATTTCAATTGAATTATTAATCTAGTTTAAGTGTGAATGCAAATCAGGAGTCACTGTGAATTCTGTCCACTTTAGAAAGCGGGATGAGCGTTTGAAACGGGTTGTTGAGGCTCGAGTGAAAGGTCAAATGGAGAAGGAGCAGGAAATTAAAAATAAATTTGAAGAAAAGATGGCACGGCTGGAGGAGAGAAATGATATGGTTGGTAGTGAGATTCTCAAGACTGAATTGAAACCCAGTGTTTGATTTTGAAGTTTTTAATGTTGTGGGGTTTCTCTCTCAGATGCGAGTTGAGCGAATGGCAGAGGAGGAAGCCAAGAGGAAGGTGGCCGCTGAACGACAGGAAGAACTGCAGCTGCGCAAGGACCAGGAAGAGATAGCCAGACTATTGAAAGTTCAGCAAGCTGTAAGTCAACATTTCAGGTGGAGAGACCATGTTGAAAGAAGTGTTGCTAGTATGTTAATGGGACAGCCTTTACATTGAAATTGTACTTCAAACTAATTGTCAATTATTTATTCTTTTTGCAACCACTTATTTTCTTTCAAACCAATGGCAAATAATATCAAGGCTAATATAAGATTTGTTTTTGTATATATTTTACTTTATTAATATTTTCCATTTGATCAAAAATACAGTAAAAACAGTTGTAATTCCTTTGATCAAAGCTGAATCTTCCAGTCTTCTGTCACATATTTCTTAAATCTATACAAGCATGTGTGTGTGTGTGTGTGTGTGTGTGTGTGTATATACACCTCAATCAATCATTGAGTTACTTACTACTAATAAATATTTGTACTAAAGCTAAATTGTTAATAGCACAGAATAGTTCCCAATGAGATGACCTCTAGTTTGGTTTTGGGTTTCAAAGCATATAAAGTATGGGGAAAAAAAGCGTTAGTGGATCAATACAAGAATAATTTTTAAAGGATTAATTATAGAAATAACCGTAAGACTAATCATATGTATTTTTTTTTTTATTATACTCCATTTTTGACGAGATTTGATTTTAATGAGTGAGTGAATTTCTTAAGTCGCATTAGTGTGGTTCTTTGGTGCAAACCTGTAACTGTAAACTGCAAACATTAAACTTTACTGAAATATGTCTTTAACTGAAAGTGCTGTTAACTCTAAACTGTAATTACTAAATATATAAAAACTAAATAGAAATGTTCATAAAATAAAAACTTAGCCATTAGTGAAACTGACCCGAACTAAAATTTATAGGGAATTTGAAAATTAGATTAAAATAAAAACTAATTTAAAAATGCAAAACTATAATAACCTTGGTCTGAGCAGCATCTTTCTTATAGTACGTTTACATTTATTCATTTAGCTGACACTATTTCTCCAGAGCGATTTATAATTGCTATACATGTCAGAGGTTGCACGCGTCTGGAGCAACTAGGGGTTAAGTGTCTTGCTCAGGCACACATTGGTGTCTCACAGTGGATTCGAACCCGGGTCTCTCACACCAAAGGCATAGTAGAGGGGTGTTTCAAAAACAGCAATGTGACCCGGACCCCCTTGTTGCTGAGAAATCTAATGTAGCGATTCAGGATCAAAGCTATTACTAAGTAACGTTGAGTATCGTTTAAATGCTTCTGCTTAGTTTTGCCTTTATCTGCAGCATGTTTCTGTGTTATTTTAAAGCGATTGTGGTGTGTGCAGGTATTGCGTAGCAGCCATCTTTAATGAAGCACTATTACAACCCACTGGATCTCCATTCATATTTTGGAAAGCCCGATCCACCTAAGCTGGAGGAGATATTCAGGCGGACCAAACCTCACTTCTTCAAACGCACTAGCTCAGCTGTCTGGCATACTTTTTTACTATTCTGATTTCTGAAAATAAATAATTAAATAAATAAAATGTATAATTTGTAAATGTTGGTGCTGTGTTATTTATGGTCTTTAATTGCATAATATGATTTGTTGTTTATGATTTAAATGGTGGTTTATGATTTAATGTGATTTGATAAGGCAATCTGGATACTAATTTATTCCTTTAAATAAACTCCTTTTATTATTTTCCCCTTATTTACTCCATTTATGTTGAAACGTGTAAGTTCGTAATGGAGACATGGAAACTCCCAGAGCACTGTGGAGCATTTTCCTGTTCTAATCGCCGGACCATCGAAAAGAGTGCTTTTCACAAGTAAGTCTTAATTTTACCATACTATTGGTTGTATTTTGTGAATAGAATATTACCAGACAATTGAGAAGGAGCAAGGATGTTTGCTATTACTGTACTGAAATGCTGTTTACTGCATCTTGGCCCAAAAGTAGCATCACATCCACTCCCTTTTCCTAAATAACACCTCCCTTCCTGGTGGGCGGTGGCACCCCCTATGGCCAGCGGAGAATCTTACCCGTCAAAGGAATGACATCTCATGCACACTGGTTACAGCTCTACTTCACTTGAGCAGACTTATCATAGTTTGTGTTAAGACATTTTTTTGGGTTGAGAGAGGTAATCAAGAACCATCACATCCAACGGGAATGTCCAATATTGATTGTATAATTATCTTCCACCTGACGTTTCAAAATGGAACACATACACATAACATAACGCACTGGCGATAATAAGAATGATGCATGTACACA